CAAATACCGTTTATCATCATGGGGTGCTGCTTGTGCTTCGTAGTTATCATTGAATCTGAAATCACAAAATTACATGATGCAAATTTTAATATTTTAAAGAACTAGAAATGTGAATACAAGTGATAGTGATTCTAATACAAACCGAAATCTCTCTGGTCCTAAATGAGTTGTGGTTTTGATGTAGCTTTCATGGCATGTATTTGTTATGTCTTTGCCTAACTGCATAAATTTTTCCGAGTTTTTGTTTTTCTGAGTGACCGACGACAATGCGAAAAGACCACCTTGAGACCATTAATGCAGAATATCCATTAAACAAATTTGTTTCCATCAAAATGTTGTGATCTTACCAGCGAAACATGCCAAATGATCCATCACATGAACAGTGCTTCCATAGCGCATTTCCGTTATATATTTCAATCCTCTGCGAGATGTTCTTATGAGATTATCGGCAACAGCATCAATTGCATCGTTGTACATATCGCGTGCATCGGTGTCAGTTTTATTCGATTGAATCCACATTTTCAGAAGATATTCGTACATAGTGTCACCAAATGCACCCAATGCCACATTTTCTATAAAATGTTCAAAGAATTATAAAAATATTCTTGAAATTAATCAATGACCAATCAATACTTACGACTTCCCCATTTTCCCGTTTCGGGGTTTATAAAAGTCGGATACAATCCATTTAGTTTTGGAATATTTTTTAAAAAATTACGACTTTTCATAACTTGGTCACGGTATACAGGTTCTCCAGTTATGTCACTCATATAAGCAAATTCGAGATGTAATGCACCAATTTCAGATAAAATGCTGTTATCATTTGTCCATCCATGAGTTTTACTTTCCTGTTTAGTGGAGATATAAATATTGGAGTTAAAATTACAAACGAAAGGCTAGCGAAAAAATGCATTACTTACACCTGTTTGAATATTAACAAGAGATTTTGGTATGCCGGTGTTGGTATCGAATGCTGGAGAAAGAATATCTGCAACTTCTTTGGCCTTTGATTTATACATTGGATCTTCGGTAAATGCGTACATGGTTAAAAAGCTTCCCATAAATCGAATGTTAGTTTCAAATACAGACAAATCTCCGTACTGTACATAAATTATTTAAAAACATAAACAATAGTTATGAGATTTAAATTTTTACTTAAGAAGAATCTTTTTGCATGAGTAAATTGGCACCTTGTTTTCAAATGTAAAGTTTTCTGCTACCCAATCACGACCTTCTTTATATTGTTCCGTCAAGTTCATTACGTACAATGTATCCAAACTATCCACGATTGTGGCTCCCAAATCACCTTTTTTATTATCACCAGTCTTGCTTATTGGATGCAATTCATCTCTGCCCCATGCATATTTTTTGTAGTTTTCCCACGCGTTCAAAGCCATCTTATTTTGATTATCACAAATTTCCCATTAACAATCATGTTGTAATGTTTTTTGTCGAAAAAATCTAAAACTTACTTCGCGAATTTTTTCGCGGCGCTCTCTAGTAGTTGGATCGGGATCTTCACTGATTATTTTCAGTTGCAGGTGTTCCTTTTCTGGTAAACTATCATTTGAAATTAATTTCCCTGCAACAGTTTGCGTTGGTGGCTCTGATTTGCCCACGATGCAAATCATTGTTACAAGTAAAATTACAAATGTAAATCCACCCAAAAGTGCATAGAGTATTTGTTTTTGGTTTTTAACCACACGCTCCGCTGACAAACGTGAATACTCGAACATTTTTAATTTTCAAATAAACCAAAATGAAAATAATCAATAAACTTTAAACAAATCACAAATGAAAAAGAGCTCACTGAACTAGAATTATTATTGACGATGTAAAAATAAATTTCGGAACTTGCACTTTTTATGATATCTTTGACATTTAAAACAAAAAAGAAATTAATACGTATCAAATGTTTTAAGTCGAAAGAAACAATGCGACTGGTACGATAGATTTATACTGAAAGTTTCTTATATGCAAAACGTTTCTGCGAGTCGGTACGATAACGACAATCATAAGATTATTCCGGATATCCACGGAAATTTTCGTAAAAATCCAACTACGTTTTTCGCTTGAAATTCCAACAAATGATAACAACAAGATTTTATTTTTATTAAAAGTAATTCGGAAAACAATATTTGCTTTCGAATGAATCGATTTTTGATTTCATGAAATATTTAACAGTTGATACATTTTGATATCTTTCAATGCACTGCAATATCTATTTTACTCACTAAACTTTGAGTTCCATATTATTCAGATTAATTGAAATAGAAATGACGATAAATAAAAATAGAAAAATTATTGTATTAGGAGAGAATGACACACATGTTTCAATAACATTTTTATCTAAAATTTTATGTGACATCAAATCACAAATTTAAAATCAATGATTTGATTTGAAAAGGTTCAAATAGAAATAGTCAAATAATTTGATTTGAAGTGTATATATGATTTCAAATCAAATGATTTGAATATTTTAATTTGAAATTTTCAACTGTGACACACTATATCGTACTATTTTATTGATTCTATTCGAAATGATTAAACGATACCCGCCCATGCATTCGGCTGATGTTATTATTAAGTTTGCGCAGCAAAAAACTCTGTTGAACTAAATCAGTGACGTAACTAACCAAAAACTTCGTAGAACTTGAACTCGAGAATTCGTTGAACTTGAACGTACAAAATCAAGTTGTTTTTAGATTTCCATACAAATTCTTAGCAAAAAAAGAAAATAAAACATATCAGGAAATTAACATTTCATATTGTGAATTTATTAACAAGTGCCTTATGATAACTGAAGATGATATATTTGATACGAGAAATGAGATTTATAGAATTTATATTAGAATGTATAAACGATGAACATAATTCAAATAAACAACAAATTAAATATGCGCCAATCTAATGTATGTTGATATTTTATAAGTTAGATGAAATATTGATGGTACATAACATAATTAATAGAAACAATTATGCATTTCAAATAAATGAGAAACAAGTACATTAAAAAAACTTTAAATGAACGCTCTAGAATAAAAACAACGTACTGAATGGTTGTTGTATCAAAGCGGAACACGGCGTTTTTTTAACATAGATTTAATTTTTATATTTTTTAGATAAAAAAATGCCGTGTTCCGCTTTGATATAACAACCATTCAGTACGTTGTTTTTATTCTAGAGCGTTCAAATCAAATCGACTAAAACAAAAAAAAAATTCGATAAGAGTTTCATATTAATTAAATAAAGCTCTTATCAGAGTGAGACAACTGAATTTCGAAAAAATGAGCCAATTTTGTTTTCAAATCATATTTATCCGAATTTCATTGACGTCAAAATTTAAATTCCAGAAAAATAATTTTTGATTATTGAAGAAATTTCGTTTAAAAACTTAAGCGATAATCCATCCTCTCAAATGATGTTACGAAATATTCTTAGTCTTGCATTAAAAAAACGGCATTTCAACAATAATTCTACAATAATTCATAAAAGAAGTCATTAACGAAGGTTTTTTCTGCTATCAATTGATAACGGTCAGTTTCCATTGAAAATAGTATTGAATTACATAATCCAAAAAACACATAAATGTCGATGTATAAATAGGAAATGGGACATTTCGACCGTCTCCATATGAAACAGTGAAACTTTTCTTTGAAAAAATTCCAAGCTCGTGAAATGAAAGCGGTTTACAAAATAGTTACGAACGAATTTAAAGCCATCCAATAATAAATTGCTTCATTTTGAGATGCGAAAAGTCCTTTTTTCCTAAATGTAATTTATAATAGATTAAAATTTAAATATTCACACTTCTATTATTTTCTTAATTATTTGCAATTTTGCTTAAATGTTATCTTATCTTAAAAATAGAGCGCGCAAAATTCATATATGAATATAAAGAATCCAGCATAAAATTAAAAAAAATTGGTTGCTCATATCACATGCGATCACATAATTAAACGACATCCATTTTTTGAAGAAGAAGAAGAAGAACATGTTTCAGTTTCAATCATTTCCTCCACACGCCTAAACTCAAAATTCCAAATGGAGAGTAAGAACATGCTGTGTAGTAGTAATTATAATGACCAGTAATTATAAGCTTATAAAATTACTGTTTGAATTTACAAATGGGTCATTTCTGTAATTTCTATTTCATTTGGATCTAACAATGAATCGATACCCTCATCATCAGGTTCACTATCTTCATCGGTTGATATTTCCGGCTTCTCGTTTAATACATTGAAAATTTCGTTTTCCAGTTCTTCAAAAGAGGGCCGATCTTCCGGTACTCTTTCCCAGCACAAATACATAATTTCAAAGCTAATAAAACAAATTGAAAATAAAAAATTGAAAAAATATCAATTGCATAAAAATTTGAGAATTTTCTCACATTTTTGGTGTCGCATTGTGTGGTCGTTTAAAACTGCTTCTCATTTTCTCTATTTCGTTTGATATAGTATAGGCATTGAGGTCTTCATCAGGAATGAGCGGAAATGGATCTAGTCCTCCGGAAAATATTTCCCACATAACCAAACCAAAAGACCAGACATCCGACTTTTCATTACATACTTCATTATGCAGCACTTCAATAGCCATCCATCGGAGTGATAATTGTTTCTATGATGAAATAACAAATAGTTTACATTAAATCTGACAAGATTTTTATTTTTCTTAATAATTTACCCCAAACAGCCTCTTATATGTTTTATTTGTAGAAATTGCTTCTGCCAATCCAAAGTCACATATTTTAATAGTATTGTTGTTACACAGTATTATGTTTCTGGCGGCCAGATCACAGTGCACAATATTATGCGAAGCCAAGAATCTTAATCCATTTGCTATTTGAGCAGACCATTCGACCAAATTTGTTGTCGTATACAATCTTGATGTTTCACTTTGACTTATAGGCGAATACTCTGTAAAAGAAAGCCGATTTCAAAACGGTCTTCAATTTTGAAAATATGAAACCAACCATTTGTTCGTGCATCATATACTCGACGAAATCTTTTGTAGAAATCGGGTTGTTGGAATGTATTTGGCGTTGGTGTTGTTATGTTTCTATTTATTTTGTATCTACCATTGGTAAATTCAACTTGATTAACAAATTGCCCTTCACCATTCTCACTTTGAAGAAACTTTTTCAGGTCAGTAGCTTTGCAGAACTCGAATATGAGCATTAACTCCCCTGTGAAATGTTTCAATGAAAATAACGCGTGCATTTGTTTTAATATCTCGAAACGTACCATTTATAACATTCTCCGAAATAGCACCAATAAAACTAACTATATGCTGATGTTTTTCCAGGGTCCTCACAATATCCAACTCGGACAATAATTGAAATATAGGACCCTAAATTGAGTTCAATTGAAGATTTATGAATTGATATCAATTGTTAGTCAATTTGTCAATCATCAAAAATGATTAAAATCATTGAATTCAACACAAACCTTTATATCCAATTTATTTCTATTTTCTTCATTGGCTTTCAATGTTTTTATAGCAACTGTCTGTTTTTCACTAAAAAAACCTTTTCCCTTTACTATCGCTTTGTACACCTCACCAAATTGACCACTTCCCAAAGGGTCTAACTTCTCTACAATCCGATAATCGTATTTATATTTTGGTAATATAACAAAGATATACATGATACCGATGAGTAGTGCCAATGAAATGGCAACAAAGCCAAGCACAAGTATATACACTATGTAGTAGATAAAATATTTAATGGAATTTCATGAAATATGTTAGTTGCATTCGTTTGAATGTTGTCTAAATGAAAAATATACGAACATAGCTTCTGAACAGGGGTCTGAGGGGTTGGATTACCCCCCACACACACACATACCTGGAGAACAGATTTGAGAATTTTCCCTTCACAAATTGAGAAAAAATATTGTTTCGATTTGCTAGGGATTTTGGAGAAAAAAGTGAAGACCTTTTTTAGCTCTTCACTTTGTAAAGTGGGAGAAAATATTCAATTTTGCTAGGGTTTTTGTTGGCGAAGAGAAGAGTCTTTGAATTTGCTAGGGTTTTTTGGCGAAGACCTCTCCCTGGCATCCAAAACTTACAATTTTATACTAGATAAAAATGAATACGTCAACATTTTCAGTTGAAGCAGGGGTTTTTTTTGCGCTTAAAAACCATTTAACACTTGTTATATAATAATTACCATATTTTTTGTTTGCAAATATTTCCTCTTCACTCGCCAAAAGTTTGGCTGCTGCGCTTTTACCTGAAATGGATGATTCAACTTCATTGAGATACTTTTGATTTGAAGATTGCTAAATTACCTTTTCTGACAGCCACATCACCAGGAGTTTCTGTTGCCTCATTTCGAGCGAGGGGATTTGCTCCCTTTTTAATTAGGAATTTAATCGTTTCAATGTTGCCTGAAAGGAGGTTTAAATTTTCCATAAGACATTTTTTAGAAACATAAATGTCCAGAACGTAAAATTATTTGTTTTACGCATACAAATGCTTGTGAATTTCTTTCTGGTATTGACAGTGGACCCAAATTCAAATCAAAAGTGTATAATTACCATTCTCAGCAGCTCTATGAAGTGGTGTTTCTTTTGTCAAATCTTCTGCATTCACATTAGCATCGCTTCCGATTAGAATTTTGATTAAATCTGTATAACCTAGAAAGCACGAAAATTGATCAAATTTAACTTCATTAAGAATATTCCCTCTTTTCCTAATAAAGTTTAAAACTACCATTCAAAACAGCCTTATGGAGTGGTGTTTCTTTGCCATTATCTTCTACATTTACATCGGCACCGTTCATGATCAGAAATCGGACTATATTTGTATGACCTAGAAAGCATAAAGAATACCAAAATTAAACTCCACTGAGAATATTTTTTCTTTATTCCGAGAATGTTATAATTACCAATCACAACAGCCTTATAAAGTGGTGTTTCTTTGTGTTTATTTTCTAAATTGACATGAGCACCGTTTTCGATTAGAAATACTACTATATCTAGGTGACCTAGAATGCATGATTAAATTTCATTGGAAATATTTCTTTTTGATTCGGAAAAGTTGTGTACAATTACCCTTTCCAGCAGCCTGATGGAGTGGTGTTTCTTTAAATTCATCTTTTCCATCGACATTGGCACCTTTTTCAATTAGAATTTCGACTATATCTGTATAGCCTAGAAAGCGCGAAAAGTGATGATATTAAACTTTGTTGGGGATAATTCCTCTTTATTCGGAAAAGTGTATAACTACCTCTCCGAGCAGCCTTATGAAGTGATGTTTCGTACTCGTTATCTTCTGCACACACGTTTGCACCCTTTTCGATTAGAATTTTGAGTAAATCTGTATGACCTAAAAAGCACGAAAAACAACCATCATAACTGAGAGATCTGGTGACGTGTGCGAATTGTGGTTGAAAACAACCGATATCAAAATTTAGTCAAGACACCATCCAACAATTCCGTCTTTGTAATTACATACATTGATAACCATGTCAACAGATGGCGCATTATTGTGCGACTTTTTTCTCGTCTCTATTAATATACGGGGACTCATGGTGGTTGACGAAAAATTATAATGAACAAATTAAAAATACTTCCTCTCCATTGGGAAAAGTGTTTGATTACCATAATAAGCAGCATTGTGAAGTGGTGTATTTTTGTAGTAATCTTCTGCATTCACATTTGCACCTTTTTCTATTAGCATTTTGAGTGTATCTGTGCGACCTAGAACGCATTAAAAAGTGATGAGAATAAACTTCATTGGAAATATTTCTTTTCGATTCGGAAAAGAGTATAATTACCATCCACAGCAGCCATATGAAGTGGTGTTCTTTTTAACCAACCTTCTGCATTAACATTAGCACCGTTTTCGATTAGAATTTTGGCTATATCTGTATGACCTAGAAAGCACAACAAGTGATAAGATTAATCCATATCTCAAATGCGTTGGCATTTCTACATTTTTATGCCATCTATTACCGAAACATTTGAAACTTCACGCTTTTGTATAGTTTTTGAACTTTCGTATACAATACTCACATAAAACATTGTATTAGTCTATGTCATTTTCATACAAAATATCGTTTTTGTATATTCTCTTTTGAGCTTCATTTATGCTTTGAAGAAGATCCACACAAAAGAGAATACACAAAAACGATATTTTGAATGAAAATCATATGGACAAATACAATTTATGCGGCGCGCCAGAGTTTGAAATAATGATTAGTTTTTTCAATTCATTTATTTGAAA